ACAAGCTTCAATGCAGGCAACTTTATTCTGTTGTTTTTGTGCTGTTCTAGATGCTCAGTTACTGTTTCAATTTCTTGTTTTTTTAGTTAGAGGGCTTTGTTCTTTCTGAAGAGAAGGCAGAGGAGAGGGTGCCTGGTTTGGGAATGAAAACGATTCAATAGCTATGCTGGCTTCCTCTACTGCAGACTCCACCTGGTTTGCCTCTATAGTCTTAGCTACTTCTGGCAAGGGTTCAATTTCTTTGCCCTAGGTAGATCTTTGCAGTTCTTCCAATTCTACTTCTGTGAATATTTTCATATTATAAATCTGTGTTGATCTACTAACCTCTGTTCTGTTATCTCTGATTCTGGATGTTGTTCTTTCCAGATCTGGTGCATTCTTTTCAGATATCTTCTCCTTGGGCTTGATTTGTAATAGCAGATCATATTTCTTTGTTTTCAGTCTTTGTATATTTGTGACAGGTAAACAAATTTACTTCCAGTAGTCCAACAGCTGCTGGCCCTGGCTGCTCAGCCAACGGTCCTGAGTCCTGTAGCCCACCTGTCACAAGATGTCTAGGAAATAGAACACCTAGTGTGATCCTTGTTGACCCGGGCAATGACCAATCCAGTATAGGTTTCTGTAAATTATGTCTCACCATATTGTTTATGGAAGAGATACTCTTCATCTGGCTCCTCTATGACTGAACCTCTAACATAGCTCTCATCCTCCTCGGAGCATGCAAGCCTCACAACCACATCAAGGTAGTGCCTCACTGGGGTGGTATTATTATTATTATTATTATTATTATTATTATTATTATTTTATCCCATCTTTTTTATATATAACTCAAGGCAGCAAACATACTTAGTACTCCTGCTTCTTATTTCCCTACAATAACAACCCTGTGAGGTGGGTTGGGGTGAGACAGAATGACTGGCCCAAAGTCACCCAGCTGGTTTTCATACCTAAGGCAGACCTAGAAGTCAGTCTCTTGGTCTCTAGGCCAGCACCTTAACCACTATACCAAACTGGCTCTCAAACATTTCTCATTTCCGTAGAGATGAGGCAAACATAAGAGGGTGGACATTTTGCTGCTGCTATTGTTAAAAATCAAAAGCTCTGCTTGCACAGTATGCTTTACTCAGTCAAAAGCTAGGCTTCTGGACTATATGAACAAGAAAATGTTCTCAGCACTTAAAAGAGATTAGTTTTGATTCAAAACAGTCTTGGGTTTAATTTGGCTTAAATTAATTTTTGCCAATAAATTGGATTGTCTGAACCCAGAAGACATGGGTTAGCATAGCTGTCAAGATACAGAGAGTTGTTTTAGGGAAGGGAATGCCAGTGCACCAGAGTGGCATTGAAATATGGCAAGAAGGGCAAAAGGAAGGACAAGTTTCCACCTCATCCAACTTTGGTGGCTTTGAATCTAGATGGGCCAGTGTTACGTTTTTTCCATAAAATTGTAGACCTGAACAGGACTAAAAGAATACTTTTCTAGATTGGTGGTGGTACTGGTAGGAGTAAAACACACATATAACAATGTACTTAAGACTTTTTACTTACTGAATCTGTAGCTACATGGTTACCAGAGTCTGTAAACTCTGATACTAGCTCATCTGCAACTTCATTATAGGATGTGATTCCTTTACGCTGGACCTTTTCACATACTTTCATTGAAAAATGCCTCAGACCCTTTCCATTTTTATCTCCCTTTTTGTTTCGCTTACTGTGGAAAACAAAAATTAAGAAATGACAAAAACATAAAGTACTGAATTTTCACAAGTGCAGCCTTTTTGCTGGTTGCTCCAGTATTTGAAAATGGTTTATCTGGGGAAAATTTAAATTAATATATGAAGAGTAGAACTAGCTACATGGTTTTCACTTTAATCTTTCTTTGAAAGATTAGATTAGTGTTTTTATATTGCCTTCATAAAACAATTCCAGTCAGTGAACAGAAGACTCAGTACAAGCAACCTCCCTATATCCAACAATCAAAAATAACAAACAATAATCCTCTCAAAAATCAAATCAGTCACTTGCAATCTTCATTAGCCTTAAAATAATCAAAGGGGTTAAAAAGTTTTCAGTGGAGTTTCCTAAAAATGAGGAGCAAAGGGCCAAACGTATCTCAAGGAGTGGTGTATGTCACAGAGTAAAGACATTTCATGAAGGGGCAAATTTTAAGCAGATGCTCCCTAGATGACCTAATAAGACAGCAGAATCTTTACAGATGAGCACTCTAAGGTAAGGTGATATCATGCCATATACGGCTCACAGTAATAAGCAGAACCTTGAATAGGCCTGGAGGTCTATTGGCAACCAGTGCGGCAACTGTAAAATAGGTATTATTCTGCAATTGTGGGGTCTAACCATGAAGAGTTTGACTGTGACATTCTGTACCACTTGTAGCTTCCAGGTTGTGTTCAAACACAGCTCTATGTACAGCACATTACAGCAGTCCAGTCACATGGTGGTAAGGATGTGAGTCACAGTCGCCAATAACTGGCACATTAGCCAAATTACAGGAAAGGCTACCTGATCATGGCTTCCACCTGTTGTTAAAGCAGAAGCTATGAGTGCATCCATCTCAAGGATTGTCTCCTTCGTGGGAGTATGATTCCATTCAGACGTACAGCTACAACAAATGTTTCAGACTCCAAGAGGTTTATGAATGAACAGCATGTCTGTTTTGCTAGAGTTTAATATGAACTTTTTTCTCTCCATTCAGTCCCTGACAACCTCCAAACACCAGCTTAAGACCTTCACAGCATCTCCAGTCTGTTCTAGGATAGTAATGTACAGTTGAGTATCATCAACATACTAGACAGATGATCTCTCCCAAAGGTTTCATTCAAATGTTAAATAACATGGGGAAAGGACTGAACACTGTAGTATTCTCCACTGGATCAACTATGCACTCAATTGCTCTTCCCCCACAACTGCTGAATGGAACCAGTCACTCAGGTAGGAATGGAACTACCATAAATTATTGCCTCTACACGCTCATCCCAACATTCACAGGCAGCCCAGAAGGATATTATGGTCGATGGCATTAAATGCCATTGAGAAGTCTAATGGCTGCCTAAAAATGAAAACAAATTGTCTCTCTCCCCCCCATATAACATATATACATACACATATACCCACACATACACAATGTTTATGCTTGCAATAAATGATATACATTAACAATCTGACTGAATTTATTAGATTCTTTAAGTGCAAAATATCAACTTTGGAATTTAATGAAATTAAGTGAATCAAAATATTTGAAGTAAAAACAAGTACTATAGCAAGTATTTAGTATGGTTTGAATGCAAGATATCCCAGTGCATTTTAAGCTCAAAATGCAATATCTACAAGTAATATGGCATTATAATTTATAAAATCTGGGACTTGTCTGAAACTCACAAATGTTTAAGTCAAATTAGAATAGCTTAGCATTATCTATTCCAACTAGTAGAAACTTTCCACAGATTAATATGAGGAAAACCTTCTGAATCAAACTAAAGGTCTATTTAGTTCAACATTTACGCTTCTCATGAAATCAAATCCTTTATGAGGGAAGCCCAATGCCTCTTTGTAACATCCCCTTCCCATGCAATGCTATTGAATAGTATGTTGCTTCTGATTATAGTGTTTCCTTATGATCTGAAGTACATTTTGTTGTTTTATGTGCTATACGGCAGGTTGAACACAGGATCTTTAATATATGTGCTCTTCAACCAAACTTATAAGGGACCACTCCATGAAAATCCTTTAGTTAAAAAATGCTTGCATCAGTTTTTGCACTACGCACTTAATACTGTTACGTAGAATTTTAGGCTTTATTCTTAGCATAAAGGTGAAATTAGCATTTTAGCATGGCAGTCTATGCCTCCTTTTGAAGATCAGGAAACCGTGTTTTTCCTTTTAGCCAAAGACATTTCCTTTGATGTGCAAAAACTAGCCCTTTCAGGACTGTGAATCAAACAATAGGGATGTATTCTGAAGTTCTTGATTAAAGTTGCAAGTGTTTAAGAAACAAACTGGGGTGGGAAAGGAGATGATGCAACATATTTTAAGGGTGTCTTTTCTCACATCTTACAAAACAAAGCTTTATTATACATCAATGTCTTTTATGATGGATTCGTTGCTTTCTGACGTATCACATATATGTATCATTTGTTTCCGTACCCTAGGCAAGACAAATGCCTCAAATTACAGAATTATCTTCTAATGAATCCTAATTTCTAATTTTTAGATGTCTATTATTGTATCAATAGGACAAATTATTAGGATTAAAATTAGCTGAAATTACATATAGAAGGCCAAAAAGACCTGAATGTGTTTGACACATCTATAAAGATCATCATGAATGGTTATTAACAATTTTAAACAGAAAGCTATTTTGTCTCTGGATATGAAAAAAAAAGAGACTAAAGATTGTGTTAATTTTTTTTTACTTCTACCTATTTCTAGCAAATGCTGGCTTTGGCATATAGATAGAACATTCTTAACTGACACTTGTTAGAGAAGACTCTCATAATATATTGTTAATGTATTTTACAAGAAAAATATTGTTGAAGATTTACACCTATATGAAAAAAAAAGGAGAACATGCATTATACAGATTTTAAGATTAAAAAATAATAATCCTTTTGGGCCTTCAACTTTATGAATTTATATTTAAATAATTCAGGATGCCCACAAACACAGGGGAGATTGTGGGAATAATATAAAAGAACACTTCCACTGTAAACCATCTTGCAGACAAGATAAAGGGACATTCAGTAGAGTACAAGGAGAACAAAGGAAGATACCAAGGTACAAGCAGAAGTCTGATCACATGATATACATGCTCTAAGATAACCAGAACTGAATCTGAAGAAAACATCTTCTTAAAAGATGTATTTCTTAAAGGAAAGTTGCCTTAGTTTCAATTCTGGCAACTACACTGCATGCACAATTATTAGACAAGTTGTATTTTTGCGGATGAATTTCATTATTGAACAACT